CTCACTAATGCCATTGGATGAATATTTAAATTTTTCAGAAAAAATCCTTAGATTTCCTTAGATTTTTTCTCTTCCTTAGATTTTCCTTTTCGACAGTAGAATTTCCTTAAAAAAGGAAATTTCCTTGAAAATGGAAGCACTGTTTCTGGTTTTACTGTATTTATACAGTATTACCATGTAACAAAATTTACTGGATGCTGATTGGTTGAGAGGAGTACAATTATTTCATTAATTGTACTGCAGTACAAATGATTTTCCCAAAACAAACAAAATGGCGGAAAGGTATTTTAAACACAAACGTGAACTGAAATTGCCCTTGAGAGTTGAGGCTAGATGAAAATACGAACAAAACCAGCAAATTTTGCTTTAGCAAAAGAACTTTATGCTTAAATGAAAATACGAACAAAAGCACCAAATTTTGGTTGAAAGTCTGGCAGGACTGGGCTTTGGCGAGAGAATATGATGTTGACATAATGACATTGCAGAGAAGTACGTACAAGAAGTACGTATCCAATTTTGTCATGCTAATAATAAACAAGTAATCATGCGATGTTGCTCGTACAATCACAGAGGAAGTATATATTTACTCTTTGGTACAATTAGGGATCGGCGGCTCGTTTATTAATCCCCCTATTAATGGACCTTTAACCTTATAACTAAAATTTTTATCTAGACAAAAATTTCATCACAGCTTGAAGGAGCATCACAAAATTAGTAATATTCCAAAGTTTCGTTGCGACATGTTGTAAAATGCGGATAATATAGCCTTGCGAAGTTTGCAATTTTCAGTCATTTTAGATTTATACAAACGGGAAATTGACAGTTTGGGGCTGTCAATTTCCCGTTTGTAATCTAAAATGACTAAAATGATGAAGTTACCAACTACAGACCTGTTTCATTACTCTCCCAAGTCACAAAAACACTTGAAAGCTTGATTTTTAGACGGATTTCTTCTTTCATTAAGGACTCTTTGTACGACATTCAACATGACTTTCGCTGCAATACTCTTTGTACGACATTCAACATGACTTTCGCT